CACAGCAGTGTTACCCCAACCAATATACAGAGCAGTGTTACACCCATCCAATATAAAGAGCAGTGTTACCCCAGCCAATATACAGAGCAGTGTTACACCAGCCAATATACAGAGAGGTGTTACCCCAGGCAATACACAAAGCAGTGTTACCCCACCCAATATTCAGAGCATTTTTATCCCACCCTATATACAGAGCAGGGTTCCCCCACCAAATATACAGATTCGTGTTACCACAAGCAATATACAGAGCAGGGTTACCCTAGCCAATATACAGAGCAATGTTACCCCAGCCAATAAACAGAGCAGTGTTACAGCAGCCAATATACAGAGCAGTGTTACCCCACCCAATGTACAGAGCAGTGCTACACCAGCCAATAAACAGAGCAGTGTTACCCCACCCAATATACAGGGCAGTGCTACCCCACCCAATATACAGAGCAGTGTTACCCCAGCCAATGTACAGAGCAATGTTACCCCACCAAATATACAGAGCAGTGTTTCACCAGCCAATATACAGAGCAGTGTTACCCCACCAAATATACAGAGCAGTGGTACACCATCCAATATACAGAGCAGTGTTACCCCACCCAATATACAGAGCCGTGCTACACCAGCCAATATACAGAGTAGTGTTACCCTAGCCAATATACAGAGCAGTGCTACACCACCCAATATTCAGAGCAGTGTTACCCCACCCAATATACAGAGCAGTGTTACACCACCCAATATTCAGAGCAGTGTTACCCTACCCAATATACAGAGCAGTGTTACCCCACCCAATATACAGAGCAGTGTTACCCCACTCCATATACAGAGCAGGGTTATTTTACCCAATATACAGGCCAGTGTTACCCCAGCCAATATACAGAGCAGTCTTTCCCCAGCCAATATACAGAGCAGTGTTACCCCACCCAAAATACAGAGCAGTTTTTCCCCAGCCAATATACAGAGCAGTGTTACCCCAGCCAATATACACAGCAGTGTTACACCAGCCAATATACAGAGCAGTGTTACCCCAACCAATATAAAGAGCAGTGTTACACCCACCCAATATAAAGAGCAGTGTTACCCCAGCCAATAAACAGAGCAGCATTACCCCAGCAAATATACAGAGAGGTGTTACCCCAGCCAATATACAGAGTAGTGTTACCCTACCCAATATACAATGCAGTGTTACCCCACGCAATATACACAGCAGTGTTACCCCAACCAATATACAGAGCAGTGTTACACCCATCCAATATAAAGAGCAGTGTTACCCCAGCCAATATACAGAGCAGTGTTACACCAGCCAATATACAGAGAGGTGTTACCCCAGGCAATACACAAAGCAGTGTTACCCCACCCAATATTCAGAGCATTTTTATCCCACCCTATATACAGAGCAGGGTTCCCCCACCAAATATACAGATTCGTGTTACCACAAGCAATATACAGAGCAGGGTTACCCTAGCCAATATACAGAGCAATGTTACCCCAGCCAATAAACAGAGCAGTGTTACAGCAGCCAATATACAGAGCAGTGTTACCCCACCCAATGTACAGAGCAGTGCTACACCAGCCAATAAACAGAGCAGTGTTACCCCACCCAATATACAGGGCAGTGCTACCCCACCCAATATACAGAGCAGTGTTACCCCAGCCAATGTACAGAGCAATGTTACCCCACCAAATATACAGAGCAGTGTTTCACCAGCCAATATACAGAGCAGTGTTACCCCACCAAATATACAGAGCAGTGGTACACCATCCAATATACAGAGCAGTGTTACCCCACCCAATATACAGAGCAGTGCTACACCAGCCAATATACAGAGTAGTGTTACCCTAGCCAATATACAGAGCAGTGCTACACCACCCAATATTCAGAGCAGTGTTACCCCACCCAATATACAGGGCAGTGCTACCCCACCCAATATACAGAGCAGTGTTACCCCACCCAATATTCAGAGCAGTGTTACCCTACCCAATATACAGAGCAGTGTTACCCCACCCAATATACAGAGCAGTGTTACCCCACCCAATATACAGAGCAGTGTTACCCCACCCAATATACAGAGTAGTGTTACCCCACCCAATATACAGAGCAGTGCTACACCAGCCAATATACAGACGAGTGTTACCCCACCTAATATACAGAGCAGTATTACCCCAGCCAATATACAGAGCAGTGTTACCCCACCCAATATACAGAGCAGTGTTACCCCACCCAATATACAGAGCAGTGCTACACCAGCAAATATACAGAGCAGTGCTACACCAGCCAATATTCAGAGCAGTGTTACCCCACCCAATATACAGAGCAGTGTTACCCCACCCAATATACAGAGCAGTGTTACCCCAGCCAATATACAGAGCAGTGCTACACCAGCAAATATACAGAGCAGTGTTACCCCACCCATTATTCAGAGCAGTGTTACCCCACCAATTATTCAGAGCAGTGTTACTCCACCCTTAAACAGAGCAGTGCTACACCAGCCAATATACAGAGCAGTGTTACCCCACCCATTATTCAGAGCAGTGTTACCCCACCCATATACAGAGCAGTGATACACCAGCCAATATACAGAGCAGTGTTACACCACCAAATATACAGAGCAGTGCTACACCAGCCAATATACAGAGCAGTGTTACCCCACCCATATACAGAGCAGTGATACACCAGCCAATATACAGAGCAGTGTTACCCCACCAAATATACAGAGCAGTGCTACACCAGCCAATATACAGAGCAGTGTTACACCACCAAATATACAGAGCAGTCCTACACCAGCCAATATACAGAGCAGTGTTACCCCACCCATATACAGAGCAGTGCTACACCAGCCAATATACAGAGCAGTGTTACCCTACCAAATTAACAGAGCAGTGCTACACCAGCCAATATACAGAGCAGTGTTTCCCCACCCAATGTACAGAGCAGTGCTACACCCAACCTCTTCACTCAAACTATCAGGAATCGGTGTACCAGGGGACGTTTGCTAACTATGCAACTTAATAATGATAAATAAGTAATTCAAATATGACCGATTGTCAAAATTACTACAAGCCAATGATTATTTTCAGAGTATCTTACATACATGTGTGCAAGGCGTGAATGATATGGTTACAGTGGAGAACAGTAGTTTGGGTTATTTCGGTTATCATGACACTAGCGTAGAGTATTATCGGCATCTGCTTGAACGTTGGCATTCAGGGGCTTAGCTTGGGGAAAATAAAATGTAAGCAGTCATATTGCAGTACTTATTTTTCTTGAACTCTCATAACGCTTCAAACACGAGCCCAAGCAGGCCCGTGTAGCATATCTAAAACAGAGATATCACGCAATGTCCTCACCACGTTCTGTACATAACACATTTTAAGTATAAAACAGTTTGATTTTTGTGATCAAACCAAGATATCCTCATTAAATTAAATGAATAATAACCACAGGAACAAATTACATTTGGCGTAAAAGGTAAACCAGCTGTGAAAATTAAATGAATAGACCACTGAAAATCAGTTATGACACCAGGTGTTCGCGAAATGGGTAAAGGAAATGTAACAAGCAAACAACAACATCAAACCAACTCATCAACGACACTTGTGTCACTGGGAGGCGGATCAACCTGTAAATTAACAAAAGATCATGTAACTATAACAAACGACTGAAAGAAGACCACACCAAAGTACATCTTTTTAATTATTTATTTTATTTTATGTTTGTGACGATTTCGAAGTGTAAGCACTCGCTTTTTGTGATACCTGGTAGTTATGCCACTCGCGTAATGTACAATACCTCAATACATCATAGAACAAAATGTGTTCCGTGACTTAATATATTACGAACGAAAAACGTTTTAGGCGGAATTTCAGCAATAACTCGGAAGCAGAAAATGTCTTCTTATCTGTCATACTGTCGAGAGAATTTGCTGTCACCTCCCTTTCCAAACCACTTTTCATTAAAAAAAGCATACGGAGTCATCGCTTCATCGTTCCATTGCATCGCCCCGTCGTATCGCGTTAACGCACCATCATTTTGCATCATCGCTCCACCGCATCGCTTCATAGTTTCATCGCATTGTTCCATCGTTTCATCGTATTTCTCTATCATTTAATCGCATCGATTCATCGTTTTATTGCATAGCTTCATCGTTTCATCGTATGCTATATCATTTAATCACATCGATTCATCGTTTCATTGCATAGCTTCATCGTTTCATCGTATGCTATATCATTTAATCGCATCGATTCATCGTTTCATTGCATAGCTTCATCGTTTCATCGTATTGCTCTATCATTTAATCACATCGATTCATCGTTTTATTGCATAGCTTCATCGTTTCATCGCATTAGTCAATCGTTTTCTCGCATCGCTGCATGGATTCATAGCCCCATCTCCCATACAAAATCTGTAGTTAAAACGGTCTTGATGGGTTTTTGTGTAAACTATTTCTGTACCTGGACTTATTAAATGAAGGAATGAATGTGGTTTATTTTATCAAGGGCAGAATATGAATAGATGCTTTCGCTCAGGTAGTAACAGTGTCGTATAGGATTCAACAATAGCAGACCCATGTGGCGTCCGCGAAACAGAAAAACTAGGTCGTCGATTAGCCACTCCATCAGAGGAACAGAACCCAAGTAATGTCGCAGGAACGTTAAAACTTAATTAAAATTCATATTAAGTTCTAAAGATTTAATGAACATTGCATATTGGAACACAAACGTCAGATCCCAACAAACACGTTAAACACGTACACTGAACACACATCGGCAGCGGCTCCCCGCCTTAAGACACACGTCGATAGTTCAGTCGACCGATGTGTCTAAACAGTTATACATCAAAATTGATACATTAGTTACTGTCTGGGATCTAATTTGTGGAGAAGTAATCTTGACGTGGTTATTATTTACTTGCAGTTTCAATGTTTTTGTTCATTTCGATTTGACAAGAAGTAATGCGGCTGTAATGTCTGAAACAAAGACCACTCCAGTGCGTGTCAGCGGGGTTGACCTACCTGTGGAACGCCAGCTCCTATGATGGCGCCACTATGGATCATCGGTCCTTCTTTGCCAACAAACAAACCTGGAAGAAGACACCGATAGAATCAGGAAACATCACTGGTCAGTGACTGTTTCGAGTCGTTCTTTCGTAACTTATGTATGTTGAACTATGAGGGTTCGTTGTATATCACGGTCTACGTGCGTATTCCGTCTGTCTGCGTCTGTGACAAATCTCACACCGCGAGGTACTGGTATTGGACTAGACGGGTGGAACGTACCTCCTGCTACACTGAAGAGGACTCCAATGGACTTGGCGAGAAGTGTGGCGAACCTTGCGACACGCGGGACCTTGATGCCATTCAGATAACACTTGATCTCAGGTATACCAGACCCCCCGGCGACGGGCTGAAACAGTCAGACAGCATTTGATCTCTGGGGTACTAGATTACCCCCACCCACCCCACCCCCCTCCTGCAATGGGCACGTTTGTACACACAACATCCCCATAACCTAAACATGTTTTGAATTTTAACATGTTTAAATACAATTAATAATACACTCCTAATGAATTATGTTTAGTGTTTAAACATGTTTAGAGCTTAGTGTAATCTTTGTCTCATAAGTTTACATTCTAAACATATTAAGATAAAGCGGATGTTGTGTTTAAAGTGGTGTTCAGACTGTCAGACAACTGATGTCACAAACTGTGTTTAGATAGAACAGTCATACAAAACATGTATTCCGTTTGGGATTTAAACACATTCCTAAACATCACTAAACATGTCTTGTATTTGCATATATTGTAAACACATTTTACAGTGTAGGACATCTGTGTCCCCTGTATCTTGCAATAGTTAGGGTACAGATTCAGTGTATCTATACATTGGTGTATCAAGTGATCAACAACTGCGTACATTTGCAGGTAGAAATGAACACAAACAACACAGAAGGCAGGTGTACATGTCATAATGTGCATTTGTCTCTGAGTTCCCAGTGCTTTTGAGCTGTGTAGAGTACTGGATCCCGGGAACGAGCGTTTTAAATCGGAGATTAAACAATAATCTGTATCTTGTTTTACATGATCACATCTTACTCTTCACGATAAACACGATATACACCTAAGTCAGTGAGTCGTTATAACATCGTCTCCCGGGAAAAATGTAATAAAATTATATGTCACGATTTAAGTGTAGCGTTTCACTTCTACTTTAACTTCTCCTAAATGTGTGCATATTTCTAGCGGCGTGTGTCTCCAGAGCAGGGAGGCATAGATGGCTGTTAATGGACAATTTTCAAAAGTAATTACTGTCAGTTATTGTCTTCTGGAAAGAGAGCACATAGTGACGACTAAATAGTACAGTAGAACAGAGAAACACGGCCTTGAAACATGTCAACTAAAAAAGGTGAACACGATAAATAAAACATGACGCACGGCTTCACGCTTCAGCGTCATTTGTAAACATAATGTTCATAATGCAGTGTTGTAAAAATCTCTGCATGTTTCCTTTGATGATTTGGAAATTACCGTTATGGGCTTTCAAGAAGTGTATTTTAAGGGTAATGACAATCAACAACAGCGCTTAACATCAGTCGGACACATCGTTGTGGGAAAAGAGTGACTGTGACGGTGGATGTACATGGGTAACTGTGAGGGTGGATGTACACAGTGACTGTGAGGGTGGATGTACACGGTGACTGTGATGGTGGATGTACACGAGTCACTGTGAGGGTGGATGTACACGGTGACTGTGAGGTCGGATGTACACGGGTAACTGTGAGGGTGGATGTACACAGTGACTGTGAGGTCGGATGTACACAGTGACTGTGAGGGTGGATGTACACAGGTGACTGTGAGGTCGGTTGTACACGGTGACTGTGAGGGTGGATGTACATGGGTGACTGTGAGGGTGGATGTACACGGTGACTGTGAGGGTGGATGTACACGGGTCACTGTGAGGGTGGATGTACACGGTGACTGTGAGGTCGGATGTACACGGGTAACTGTGAGGGTGAATGTACACAGTGACTGTGAGGGTGGATGTACACAGTGACTGTGAGGGTGGATGTACACGGTGACTGTGAGGGTGGATGTACACGGTGACTTTGAGGGTGGATGCACAAGGGTGACTGTGTTGGCGGATGTACACAGTGACTGTGAGGGTGGATGTACACAGTGACTGTGAGGTCGGTTGTACACGGTGACTGTGAGGGTGGATGTACATGGGTGACTGTGAGGGTGGATGTACACGGTGACTGTGAGGGTGGATGTACACGAGTCACTGTGAGGGTGGATGTACACAGCGACTGTGAGGGTGGATTACACGGGTGACTGTGAGGTCGGATGTACACGGTGACTGTGAGGGTGGATGTACACGGTGACTGTGAGGGTGGATGTACAGGGGGTGACTGTGAGGGTGGATGTACACGGTGACTGTGAGGGTGGATGTACACAGTGACTGTGAAGGTGGATGTACACAGTGGCTGTGAGGGTGGATGTACACGGGTGACTGTGAGGGTGGATGTACACGGGTGACTGTGAGGGTGGATGTACACGGGTGACTGTGAGGTCGGATGTACACGGTGACTGTGATGGTGGATGTACACGGTGACTGTGAAGGTGGATGTACATGGGTGACTGTGAGGGTGGATGTACACGGTGACTTTGGGGGTGGATGCACAAGGGTGACTGTGTTGGCGGATGTACACAGTGACTGTGAGGGTGGATGTACACAGTGACTGTGAGGTCGGTTGTACACGGTGACTGTGAGGGTGGATGTACATGGGTGACTGTGAGGGTGGATGTACACGGTGACTGTGAGGGTGGATGTACACGGGTCACTGTGAGGGTGGATGTACACGGTGACTGTGAGGGTGGATGTACACGGGTGACTGTGAGGGTGGATGTACACGGGTGACTGTGAGGTCGGATGTACACGGTGACTGTGATGGTGGATGTACACGGTGACTGTGAGGGTAGATGTACATGGGTCACTGTGAGGGTGGATGTACACAGTGACTGTGAGGGTGGATGTACACAGTGACTGTGCGGGTGGATGTACACGGTGAATGTGAGGGTAGATGTATACGGTGACTGTGAGGGTGGATGCACAAGGGTGACTTTGAGGGTGGATGTACACAGTGAATGTGAGGGTGGATGTACACAGTGACTGTGCGGGTGGATGTACACGGGTCACTGTGAGGGTGGATGTACACGGTGACTGTGAGGGTGGATGTACACAGTGGCTGTGAGGGTGGATGTACACGGGTGACTGTGAGGGTGGATGTACACGGTGAATGTGAGGGTGGATGTACACGGGTGACTGTGAGGTCGGATGTACACGGTGACTGTGAGGGTGGATGTACACGGTGACTGTGAAGGTGGATGTACATGGGTGACTGCGAGGGTGGATGTACACGGTGACTGTGAGGGTGGATGTACACAGTGACTGTGAGGGTGGATGTACACGGTGACTGTGAGGGTGGATGTACACGGTGACTGTGAGGGTGGATGTACACGGTGACTGTGAGGGTGGATGTACACGGTGACTGTGAGGGTGGATGTACACGGTGACTGTGAGGGTGGATGTACACGGTGACTGTGAGGGTGGATGTACACGGTGACTGTGAGGGTGGATGTACACAGTGACTGTGAGGGTGGATGTACACGGTGACTGTGAGGGTGGATGTACACGGTGACTGTGAGGGTGGATGTACACGGTGACTGTGAGGGTGCACCTACCTCATACACGGTCAGACAGGCGGCGATGATGACAAAGCCCACATTGAACATCAGCAGGAACAGCAGCGACTCCACCAGACACCCCTCTTTGGAACACTTCTGTATGGCTGACATGTCAAGGCACAGAACGCTCCACACGCCAACATGTGCGTTAAAGGTAATCCAACGGCCGGTCAATGATATACTTGTCGGTCTGGGGTCTAACCTAGTCTTGAGCAACAAATTGCACAGACCAGCTTACTTCTAAACACAATTTACCTGACAAATATAGATACCGTGTGTGTACGGAACATATTAGATATGAGGAATACCTCATCAATGTCAGCCTGTGTGTCATGTGTTACGTGTTTGTATGGTGTAACCATATATTCTATAATGACGTTCGGTCACGAAAATACACCAATACAGACAGCCAGCCTCCTTGCAGACTCTCTGCCCAAGTGTTCTCTAATCTCATCTGTGGGGACCTTAGCCTCAATGTGACCATTCAGTATGGGAGAACAACTTGCAAGGATATATTTCCATGTCATGAATGTGTCAGTGTGTTACGTTACATTGTGCGGTGAAAACCACGGGCAAGTAATGATGATACCCATGGCGATGTTGGTATTCGAACCCTGGAACATGGCAGGACTACGACCAAGAATTACGGAGCCTTAGACGTCGGCCACAGCCACATAAACAGCACGTGCAGCGGCCTCATTTCAGTGAAGGATACACACATCGATAGTGTTGAACTTCCAGTGAGACAAGAGCTTGACAATGCTGTCTATATACAGGGCAACCTGAAAGAAGAAGTAGACACACTATCAGGAGACCGACATGACGTACAGGACACACACAGACGCATCGCTACCAGGAAGGCTATATTATATATGTTCCCTATGTTTCAGTCTTAGCTTCTCTGTCAGGGTCACCGACTTGCAATGTCTGCGCTTTATAACCACATACATTCCTATGATCACAGGAAATTGATGATTTGAGATACATCTTATTCCATATTCCTGGCAATGTGGAGAATGCATACTCACCATTCCAGTCAAAAGTCCAACCAAAAACGTAATAATCCATTTTATAGCCTCAATCTTGTTGTCGGACTGAAAAAAATAACCCTCTATCTTGTTTTATCACATGTTTTATTTTATTTTAATGACGTAGTTGCCAACTGTGAAACTAACACTCCATATAAGCCCATATATGTATACATTCATACATCAGACCATTGTCAAGAGACAGGACACCTAGCTTTAGATAAACAGATGGTAGTTTGACGTTAGGTGAGGAGAGGTGAATGGGGTTAAACGTGTGTGTGTGTGTGTGTGTGTGTGTGTGTGTGTGTGTGTGTGTGTGTGTGTGTGTGTGTGTGTGTGTGTGTGTGTGTGTGTGTGTGTGTGTGTGTGGCTTCTTGTACTAGTCCGTATTAATGCCGATTTTATAGTGCTAGCCCACTGAGATATCATGCCGCAGTTTGACACGAATACCCAACTCAGACACAGTCTTAATGTCGGGCGCCAGGCATGGTAACAGCAAGTACCCACGTGGCCGGGGATCGAACTCCGGGCCCCCCGCTCTCCTGTTGGACGTTCTACCACTGGTCCACGGAGGCGGTCTTGACGTAAGGAACATAAACGCATACCACTGTCAATATTAATACTCTATTCTGTTTCCGATCTGTACCTTTTAACACAAACATCAATAAAATGATCACTTCAGAGTCATACATCAAAACGTTACCATAACAGTCAGCGTCTCGTCTGGAGTTAACGTGTGTGACACTCACGTGCTCTTGCTGTTGTCTTTTCAGGAGGAGCTCGTAAGGTTCGTTGAAACATCTGTCGTAATCCAAACTCTGGAGGAAGACGGTAGATTAGAAACTGAGAGAGTACCAGATGTAAACACAAATAACCGCACCATTATCTCGTAAGTTCGTGGACGTCCTGGTTGGAACTGAGGAACAAGTTCTGTTTGTTTGTTGTTTAACGCCGAACCCAGCAATATTCCAGCTATATGACGGCCGTCTGTAAATAATCGAGTCTGGACCAGACAATCCAGTGACTAACATCATAGGCATCGAGCTACGCAGTTGGGATACGATGACATACATCAACCAAGTCAGCGATCCTGACCACCCGATCCCGTGAGTCGCCTCTTGCGACAAGTATAGTCGCCTTTAACGGCAAACATGGGTTGCTAAAGACCTATTCTCTCCCCGGATCTTCACGGGTGTCTGGAGGATAAGAGTGAGCTGCTTGTAAGAGGGGCCTGATACAAAGTGGTCGGGGTTTCAACCTCGGTTGCTTGGTTGATTGCGTGTCTTTGACGGCGTAGGACGTTTATCATAATATCAGTGGTTTGTCTGGTCCAGACTCGATTCCACACAGGCAACGGCAACACGACTGAGTGCGGGTTACACAACACACAATGAATCCTGTCACCTGACGCGAGCTGTCACACTATTCCTCTGAAGCGCACATACAATCATAACAGTTACACAAGCAGACTGATCTTCGAAGATCATCGCCGGACATCCTGAGTCAAAGGTCACTAGCGTGAATAACACACAGTGAGTGAGTTAGGTTTAACGTCGATTTGAACAAATTTTCAGTTATATCACGGCGTGTGAGATTCACGTGGGAGGAAAGCCCGAAGTAATGCAGGTCTTAGACATCTACCACTTAGTTGAAAACCACGAGCACGAATATGATGCTGTCGAACCTAAAAACATATACGGGGCGAACCGGTATTCGAACCCAGAATTATAGGTTTCTGGCGTGTCCAAGGGACGCACGTCTGCTCAGGGGGTCCTCAGATCGATCCCAATCGCGTAGATCGATGCTCAAGATGTCAATTACTGGATTATCTGGTCCAGACTCAATTATTCACAGACCGCCGTCATGTAGCTGGTATATTGCTGCTAGCGGCGTTAAACAACAAACAATCAAACATACGACTGGGTCACCCACGCCCCCCAAGCAGTCAAAGGTTGTCAGTGTTAAACGTTAATGAAGAACACACCTGTCAATTAACGTGACCTTTGTCATCGACAAATTGTATAGTTTTAACTGGAAAATAAACAAACTTACTTCAAAGTCCTTTGTCAGGAGGGTGGGCTGACGAGACGGCAACAGTGGGGTCTGTATTGACAGATAAGCGTTAATTGTGTGCATACATGTCGCTTATGTTATTCCACATGTACATTTATACATGTGTACCGTTTCATATCAACTCTAACTATATCACACTAATGATAATCGTTTTGAAACACAAACACGTTAAAGCAGAGAAATAATTAATCAAAAGTGTCTTAATCATACTCCCGATTTTAGAAACAATATGAAATAATTTCGATGAGTGGGTTTGTATGTTTGTACGAAAAAAATATAACCGCGTGGGCTAAACCACATATTACAGCACATTAAACCAATTATTTCGAAGCACTCTTTCTAATATCGTTTATCGTTAAGTTACATAAAGATTACTGTTTACAAGAGTTGTAAGCTGCCGAAATGCTTTTTTAGTGTTTACATTAGATTCCCTCTGTTACATTTAGCGACATGATTGCACCTAGTTCAAAGCGAATCCCATTTGAGCGTATTGTATTTGAATAAACTATTAAACAGTTCTATGCTTTTAGATAATTATTTTTAGTATGATAAAGGCAATTCACTCTTTTCAGTTAATTATGTTGACATTACTCGATTATTTATAGACCGCCGTCATATCGCTGGCACACTGCTGAGTGTGGCGTTGAACAATAGAACGAACAAAAGAACATTTCACACCTAATCAATGCCCTAAAAACCAAGCAGACATCTAAGTGCACTCGTTTCCCTATATGTCCACGGTGCCGTTGTACAAAGCGATCTTATCACTAAGGTGATCGTAACTCCAATACCTTAACATAGACAACGGCAATCAGGCAGGATTTGTACTGTAAAGATAATTCAATTATATGTCTAGAAAACCGGAAATAATCATGAAACATAGCCTCGGAAGACTTTGCTACCCACGAGTTTGTAAACTCGGTTTTAATTAATATAAATCAGCTATGGTTATGATATCAGTGTTCATTGATTACAGATGCAGACGACATCCTACCAAGTAGGTCAGAAGTCAAGGGGGCGTGCCGTTTGGGTGCTGGCATAACTCGATACTTCATGAATTGACGGTGAAAACACATAGGACTAACAAGATGAAATGGTTGGTGTTGGAGTAAGTGACAGTGAGAGTAACCTACCCTCTCCTCAGTGTCGGCCGTGCCACTCTCATCAGTCCGCAGTCGATCCCTCGCACCGACGGGCCAACTAGTGGAAGCCATTTTGATGACCTTAACCTATGACATGGCGGTAGATTTGATCAGGTGGGCGTGACAGCACTGTCGATCCACGTCCTGTATCGGTATCAACTGCGAATATGATAGCGCCAGCCGGCTACCGTCATGTAAATCAGTGGTAAAGTACACAACCACTACTACAGAAATTATAAACAATCACTGATATAGTCACCATGGTAATTACAATCAAGGGCGGTCAAGCCGTCAAACTGTACATTCCTATTACACATGTCATACAATATATCCCCAACATTCACGTGTCATTCTGCAGATTCCTATTACACGCGTCATTTATTTTATCCCCAACATATACGTGTCATACTGCACACGCCTATTACACGTGTCATTTTATATATCCCCAAATATATGTGTCATACAGCACATGCCTATTACACGTGTCATTTTATATATCCCCAACATACACGTGTCATACTGTACATTCCTATCACACGTGTCATACTTTATATCCCTAACATTCACGTGTCATACTGCACATACCTATTACACGTGTCATGCTACATATCCCTATCACACACGTGTCATACTGCACACTCCTATTACACGTGGTGTGCTATATATCCCCACGTGTCATAACTGCACATTCCTAGTAGACATGTCATACTATGTATCCCAACATACACATGTCATACAGCACATGCCTATGACACGCATCATGCTATATATCCCTAACATACACGTGTCATACTGCACATTCCTATTACACGTTTCATACTATATATCCTCAACATACACGTGTCATACTGCACATGCCTATTACACGTGTTATTTTATATATTCCCAACATACACGCGTCATACTGTACATTTCTATCACACGTGTCATACTTTATATCCCTAACATTCACGTGTCATACTGCACATGCCTATTATACGTATTATTTTATATATTCCCAACATACACGCGTCATACTGTTCATTCCCATCACACGTGTCATATTTTATATCCCTAACATTCACGTGTCATACTGCACATGCCTATTACACGTGTTATTTTATATATTCCCAACATACACGCGTCATACTGTACATTCCTATTCTACACATGTCATATTATATATCTACCATCACGACATCGTGGCATAATGTACATTCCCATTACACGGTGTCATACTATATATTCCCAACATACACGTCTCATACTGTACATACGTGTCATACTATATTCTAGTATCCCTAACATACACTGCCATATAGTGCATTCCTATTACACGTGTCATACTATATATCCCCAACATACACGTGACACACTGCACATTCATATTCTACACATGTCATGCTATATATCTACCATCACGACATCGTAGCATTATGTACATTCCTATTACATGTGTCATACTATATATCCCGATTCATTCATTCATTCATTCATTCTCTACCATCACGACATCGTGACATAATGTACATTCCTATTCTAAAGACGTCGTCCTGCATATTCATAGCCTACTACATGTCTCATACTGACACTCTACACGTCTCATACTGTATGTTCCCTACCAATACGTGCCATACTGTATGCGGTCACCCTACATGTGTCGTGCTATACGTGTTATACTGTATATTGGCATCATGCACGTGTCATACTGTAAGTGCCCCGTGGGCACCCGGGGTAGAATGTGTCCCCTGCATCCTGTTGCTTGTCGTAAGAGGCGACCGAGTTGAGCAACCTCTTTGCCGTGGGTTGCGCCTCTGTGTCGGTGGAGGACGGGAGACATGGTTGAGACTGGAGCCAGGAATAGCGTTCCTTTGCCCAATACACCACTTTGACCCTTACTTCACCTAGACTTGGGCTTTGTTTGAAACATAATGCAAAAGTACTTTCAAAACAGCTGCATTAAAGACAATTGCTGAGGAATGTATTCCTACATCCTCTACAAATTCACATATACGGAAACCATGGTAAATTGATGACTATAAACAAGCTAGAAAGGCTAGGAAGAAGGCTGAAGAGTATTTCCGCAAACATCCCACAGTCCACAATTTAAACGAATTTAAGATATCAAATGCTAAAGCCCGACGCGTCGTTAAGCAAACTAAACTTTATTCTTGGCAAACGTATGAACCTGAAATGAATTCAATGTCAAAAGTTTGGAACATGGTACAACAACGTAAAGGAAGATTTAGTGTCCACCATCTGAAGGAAGGCGACACATTACTAACAGATAATCTGATATAGCAAATAGACTCGGAGAATCATCAGCTAACCATTCTTCCTCATCACATTATACATCGAAATTCCAGAAATGTAAACAACAACATAAAAAAGGAAAGTGTATTTTAATTCTGACAATGGTGAAGACCATAATGAACTTTTCTCCCTACAGGAACCGCACACTGCTTTAGGGCAAGCACGTGATACTGCTCGAGGGCTGATAATATCCTTTAATAGCTACTAAAACATTTACCTGACACGTGTCTCGAAGTACTGTTAAGTCTCTTTGACAATATATGGACTTCTTGAAATTTCCCTTCAATTAGTCGGGATCATACTAATCCATCTAATTATAGGCCAATATCACTTACTAGCTGTGTTTGTTAGACAATGGAAAGAATGGTCAATAACAGGTTAATATGGTACTTTGAAACATATAATCTTATGACAAATATTCAATGTGGTTTTAGGAAAAATAGAAGTACTGTTGACCATTTGATTAGATTGGAGACATTTGTGAAAAATTATATATTAATTAAAAATCAACATGTCCTATCGATATTTTTCGAATTAGAAAATGTTTATGACACCTTTTTAAAAGATCTTCACGAGACGGGATTGAAAGGACATAATTTTATATCACAATTTTTATCATATAGGCATTCCAGGTTCGTGTGGGTTCTACCTTATATAGATATTCATGATCGCGATCAAGGTGTCCCACAAGGTAGCATATTATCAGTAACGTAGTTAAATATCAAAATAAATAGTTTATCTAAGTTCTTAAGTGATTGTTGATGGGTTATTATTTGTTGATGATTTTAATGTATCATGTTGAGGTAAACATATGCACACGATTGAGAGACAGCTGCAGCTTTGTCTCAGCCATATCAAGGATTGGTCAGAACGTAATGGCTTTATATTTTCCTAAATAAAAAAACCTATCTGTTTTACATCTAGCGGGCACATCAAGTAAAGTTCAAAGGAAGCTAAGTTTATAGGAACAATTTTTAATCTCCACTTTCTTACCACATATTTAATATCTTAAAGCTAATTGTCTGAATGGTCTGGGTCTATCTAATGTTTCTAATTACAAGTGGGGAGGGGGCCAGACAGCCCTTCTTCACTTGTGTAGATCACTCATCTATTCTTAGCTCGATTAAGGCTCCATCATCTATGGTGGAGCCTGCAAAAGCAATCTTAGAAGTTTAGATTCTATCCACCATCAAGGTCTTGTAGACGTAGAATATTTGTTGTTATAATCTTGGCTAAAAATGCGGACAATCTCCAGCGACTGAGGATAAGGTTTCTTTTCTGCTTTGGTCCATGTAGGTAGCAAAGGTACTGTTAGTGCCCATGGTCCCCAGGATGGTGATCTACCTTCAAGGGTGGCGATCAAAAGCCCGTTTTTATCATGTTCTTGTTATGTATCGTTACATCTTTTTATAGGTCGATATTAGTTTTATATACATATCTGTGATAATCTAGTTTGTTTTACTGTCTTTTGTTGACCGGTTTTTACATAGTCAAAATGTTTTTATTATTGATATATAAATTCGTCTAATATGGCTTAAATATTGCCACTCTTAACTCACTGGTATCAAACTGCATGATGCCTGCCAACACGTTTCATACAGTATGTTCGCTGCCTACACGTCTCATACTGTATGTTCGCTGCCTACACGTCTCATACTGTATGTCGCTGCCTACACGTCTCATACTGTATGTTCGCTGCCTACACGTCTCATACTGTATGTTCGCTGCCTACACGTCTCATACTGTATGTTCCCTGCCTACACGTTTCATACTGTATGTTCGCTGCCTACACGTTTCATACTGTATGTTCCCTGCCTACACGTCTCATACACTCCATTCCCCGCTGACAGGTCTCCTACTGTATATTCCCTGCCAACACGTGTTATTCCAGCTAGCATGCCTTGCACAATATGGAGTATGGTACGCTCAGCAATAGTGATGCCACCCACACCATAACCGATCCACCGCCAAATCTGTCACGAGGACTCAGGTTGACATTGGCTTGACATATCAACGTCGCCAAACACGACCACGCCTATCAAGGAAGTGCAAAGTGAATCGGGACTCATCTGAACCCATGTCACGTGACCAGCGACGATTACCCAGTTTCGACGTTGCATACACCATTGACGTCTGTTGGCAATACTGACGATCTGCAAGGGGCGGCACAACACGTGGCCGTCGAGCATGGAGATGAGCTACATGTACACGTAACTCGTATTCCAGCAGCTTGATGGAAGTTTGCAGCAATTTGGTTCGCCGTTTGAGGTCGATTTCGTAGAGCCTAGTTTCGGATCAATCGACCCTGTACTCTTGTCGTTGACCTTGGACGCCCTCTTGGATTTGTTGGTACGTGTTCTATAGTCGTCTAATCACAGACTGAAATACTGAACATAATGGCCACCGCACGCTGACTTCTGCCAGTTTCCTGCATGCCAATAGCCTGCAGACGCTCCGCGCGTTGTAGACGCTGCATCGCTAGTCCATACGAGGGCTGGTCATGAAGTTTTAAGCCTAACAAACAAACAAAACAAACAATTGTGAAAGTGTTTTTAATTTTATTCTTCAACGTAATCTCCCTGCTTTTCAATAAGATTTTTTTGTGAAGATTTTCAATTCCAGTCAGGAATAAATTTTCTGAAGCCACCCTGAAAAACCCATTCACGGCAGCTTTGAGGTCATCGTTGTCGTCATAGCGCTTTCCACGAAGGTATTCTTTCAGTTTAGGAAACAGGTGGGAATCACTTGGTGTCAGGTCTGGCGAGTATGGAGGATGAGGAAGTTCTTCGA